TTAACATATATTATTGCATTTAATTTTCTAAATTACTGTGCAGTATATTATTTAAACCTTCATTTTGCAGATGAAGAAACTGATGCTGACAAAGGTAAAACAATTTGTTTGAGGATGCACAATTAAGATTCAAACCCAAATCTACATGTCCCTAACTAAGAGCTTTGCTCTTTTCTTGATGTGAGGTTACTACTATCGGTTGCAAAGTCATTATCTGAAAGAGAAATAACTTAGGTGGCTAGATACATATGCATAGTTAGCCACAGTCCAGGGAATGAAGCATGTTGACAAGCTAACAAATAGTAAGCACTGTTGAGGTACACAATCCCTGCCAGGTTCAGGGCTAGGCACTGGGCATGCAGTGGTCTCTACTCTTTGGAATTTTATAGGTCTGTCTATATTGCCAACTTAGCCTAAAGTTTAGAGGATTCAGCCACATTCTTTGTGATACTTGGGAAGAGTGTCTAGCTGCAGTATGGGATACCTAAGAGTAGCTCTAATTTTCTGAAAACATAATTATTCTTTTACTTTATCTTTTAAAAGGTAGTTAAATATGCTACAGGAAACTGTTGGTTACAGGAAAAAATTTAAATAAGGTCTGACGTTTTTCCTGGATAATGACATTTAACCCTCATTAGGTAGTTTTACACATACGCCCTGACTTCTTCAAAACAGTCCAGAGTGTGATTTTGTACTCTTTAATAAAGTCAAACAGGAAGCAATCCCTTTGAAAACTAGCACAAGACAAGGATGCCCTCTCTCACTACTTTTACTCAGCATAGTACTGGAAGTTCTGGCCAGGCAATCAGGCAAGAAAAAGAAATAAAGGATATTCAATTAGGAAAATGATATTGTCTCTATTTGGAGATGACATGATTGTATGCTTAGAAGACCCCATCACCTCAGCCCAAAATCTCCTTAAGCTGATAAGCAACTTCAGCAAAGTCTGAGGATACAAAATCAATGTGCAAAAATCATAAGCATTCCTATACACCAATAACAGACAAACAGAGAGCCAAATCATGAGTGAACTCACATTTACAATTGCTACAAAAAGGATAAAATACCTAGGAATACAACTAACAAGGGATGTGAAGGACATTTTCAAGGAGAATTACAAACCACTGCTCAAGGAAATAAGAAAGGACGCAAACAGATGGAAAAACATTCCATGCTCATGGTTAGGAAGACTCAATATCATGAAAATGGCCATACTGCCCAAAGCGACTTGTAGATTCAATGCTATCCCCATCAAACTACCATTGACATTCCTCACAGAATTGGAAAAAAAAAAAACAAAAAAACCTTAAACTTCATATGGAACCAATATACAGCCTGCATAGCCAAGACAATCCTAAGCAAAAAAAAAAGGAAAGCTAGAGGCATCAGACTACCTGACTTCAAACTATACTACAAGGCATTGGTAATCAAAACAGCATGGTACTGGTACCAAAACAGAGATATAGACCAATGGAACAGAACAGAGGTCTCGGAGGCAACACAGCATATCTACAACCATCTGATCTTTGACAAACCAGACAAAAACAAGCAATGAGGAAAGGATTCCCTATTTAATAAATGGTGTTGGTAAAACTGGCTAGCCATGTGCAGAAAGCTGAAACTGGAACCCTTCCTCACACCTTATACAAAAATTAACTCCAGATGGATTAAAGATTTAAACATAAGACCTAACACCATAAAAACCCTAGAAGAAAACCTAAGTAATACCATTCAGGACATAAGCATGGGCAAGGACTTCATGACAAAAACACTGAAAGCAATGGCAACAAAAGCCAAAATAGACAAATGGGATCTAATTAAACTAAAGAGCTTCTGCACAGTAAAAGAAACTATCATTAGAGTGAACTGGCAGCCAACAGAACGGGCAAAAAAATTTGCAATCTACCCATCTGACGAAAGCCTAATGATACCCAGAATCTACAAAGAACTTAAAAAAATTTACAAGAAGAAAACAACTCCATCAAAAAGTGGACAAAAGATATGAACAGACACTTCTCAAAAGAAGACATTTATGCAGCCAGCAAACACATGAAAAGCTCATCATCACTGCTCATTAGAGAAATCGAAATCAAAACCACATTGAGATACCATCTCATGCCAGTTAGAATGGTGATCATTAAAAAATCAGGAGACAACAGATGCTGGAGAGGATGTGGAGAAATAGGAATGCTTTTACACTGTTGGTGGGAGTGTAAATTAGTTCAACCATTGTGGAAGACAGAGTGGCGATTCCTCAAAGATCTAGAAATAGAAATACCATTTGACCCAGCAATCCCATTACTGGATATATACCCAATGAATTATAAATCCTTCTATTATAATGACACATGCACACATATGTTTATTGCGGCACTGCTCACAATAGCAAGGACTTGGAACCAACCCAAATGCCCATCAATGATAGACTGTATAAAGAAAATATGGCACATATACACCATGGAATACTACGTAGCCACAAAAAAGAATGAGTTCATATCCTTTGCAGGGACATAGATAAAGCTGGAAACCATCATTCTCAGCAAACTGACACAAGAACAGAAAACCAAACACTGCATGTTCTCACTCGTAAGTGGGAGTTGAACAATGAGAACACATGGACACAGGGAGGGGAACATCACACACCAGGGCCTGTTCAGCGGTAGGGGACTAGCAGAGGGACAGTAGGGGATGGGCTATAGGGGATGGATAGCATTAGGAGAAATACTTAATGTAGATGACATGTTGATGGATGCAGCAAACTATCACGGCGCATGTATACCTATGTAACAAACCTGCACGTTCTGCACATGTACCCCAGAACTTAAAGTATAATTAGAAAAAAATAAAAATAATTTTTTAAAAGTCAATTTGTTAAACTTCTAATGAAAGATAATTTAATTCGTATGCTTTGAATAAACAGGATGAGAAAAAAGAGGGAAAGACTCTCTGTGCCTTCCCTAAGTCTTGATATGGGGTTTTGGCAACAAGGCTGCCTTGCCTAGACAGAGGTTTCAAAGCCATGGTTAGAGACATGTTAGGGTTTAGCCCACATGATGTTTATTAGGTGGGTGTAGCTCTGGAAACCAAGTGAAATGAGGTGTCTCAGACCATCAAAAGCCAGCAGCAGCTGTCATGGAGGTTTTAAATGCCTATCATGGGAACTTAGTTCAAGAGGAGGGCTACTTCTTGGTTCCTGACAATATTTTTCTGTTCTGTGGACAAAAGAGGAGATAAGAAAGTTGTCCACATCAGTATCCTGGCCCTGTTACCGTGGCATTGAACTTCCTGGTCATGAGGGATATGAGAATACTGATGTTTTTTATTCTCAGTGAGAAGAGTGCATAGCAAACGGAGGGAAGCATGCCTACTGAGGCCAATACCATTGGCCAGTGAACAAATCAGCACAGAAGAGATATGTTTATCTTTTGCAAACATGGATCTCGTAGCCCACTTTCCTTTGAATGAAGGAATGGGAAAGAATAACCCAGTTGATGATGGAAAAAGGTGCACTTAAGCAAGAATGCCAGCTAGAATGACTTAACCTATCTCTTTTGGGGACCTTTGAGTGGAAGAGTGGTGACCTCTCAAGGTACACGTGTACACTCTCGTCTCGTCTAACTTAAAGTACACATTTAGGACTTTTGGCACTTTTAGAAATCACTTGAAATTCACCCTAGTATGAGGTCATGAGTAAGTAAAAAATACCTCATGCTACCTTTCTTTTTGAGTAGGTTAAGCCCCATGTATGAACTACTTGAGCCCTTTCATTAAAATCCCTCTTTGTAGAAGACAACCTTTCTGCATACTTAACTCTCTCTTATTTTGTATAGCTCTTCAGAATGGTTTGATGGACCTTAGCACCTTTAATCCTTCCAAGAGCTATGCATGGTAGGTGAAGAACATGCTATCCCTTTTGCTTATATTAAGTAATCGAGGCCAAAACAAATAAAGTAATACATCACAGATTGCAGGTTGAACAGGTAAGAGCCAGATAGGGTGACCAATTATCCCACTTTGCCCAAAACTGTTCCAATTTTAGCACTGAAAATTCCATGTTCTAGGAAATCGCTTCGTCCTGAGCAACAGGATTATTGGCTAGCCAGGATTAGAATCCAGATCTCCTAATTCTCTGTCCAATGCTAGTTCTACTGCCATATGCATCTGTCTTTCAAGAACTTATCTGAGTAATGTTTCTCTTTCTGTGAACCTTAGTGCACCAAGATATTTCTATGTGCTGGGTCATTCTCCCCTCTCATTCTGCCTAGGACAGAAGCAATGGCAGCTAGTGATCCTCGGAGGCACTGAGACCACTGTTGGCAAAGAGAAACCATGTTTCAGCTTTCTCAATTACAAAATAAAGATGATAATCCCTATACTGCTGACCTCACAGGGATGTTGTATAGATCAAATAATAATAGATGTGAAAGTAGTTTCTAAATTGTTATGATCTGTTCACACATGAGGGCTTGTGATTATTCTGTACCCCCTGGGCAGAAGCCAACTCCTTGTCTTATTATTCTCTACAAATTCAGCTCCTGGTATAGCCACTGACTGTGAATTTGAGCAAATAGCTTGGTCTCTTTGCCTCAGTTTCTTCATCTGTAAAATGTAGCTAATAATAATTCTTAACATGTTTGTTTTGAGAATTGAATGAGTTATTACATGCAAAGCATTTACAAGAGTTCATGGAATGCTGGGCTCGGTGGCTCATTCCTGTAATCCCAACACTTTGGGAGGCTGAGGTGGGTGGATCACCTGAGGTCAGGAGTTCGAGACCAGCCTGACCAATATGGTGATACCCCATCTTAAAAAAAAAAAAAAAGAGTTCATGGAATATGGTCAGAACTATATAAGCATTAACTCTTTTGTATTGGCTCCTCAGCCCCACCGTCTCAGAGCCAGAGACTAGATTAAGAGGACTCAGAAACCAAGTGACATGGAAGCCACTACTTACAGTCCCTTCCCATTAACTCCCTAGTTCTTGTGTTCTGTACACACAGCCTTCCCACCATGGATTGCCAAGAAAATGAGTACTTGGACCAATGGGGACGGTGTGTCACCTGCCAGCAGTGTGGTCCTGGACAGGAGCTATCCAAGGTAAGTTCTCCTAGTCAGTACGCATATTTTTGTCACATCTTAGGAACCAGCCTGGCAACTGAAAGAGGCCAAGATTAGTCAGCCCTACTTATGACTAATCCAGTTCAGCAGGTAAAACCTGGTATCCACAGAGTATGCAACATCAGCATGAAGTCAGCCTAGCAGGATCAGGATCAGGGGAAGTTTCCATGAGATAATAGGGTATTTCAAGAAGAGATGTCTTGTGCAGAGATCCATGAGGACTGTGAAGCATTAGGGAAATCTGTTAGCTAAAGCAAAGCCCAACCACATGGTGTTGAAGAGCCAGATATCAGATCTTAGGAATGAGAAAGAGAGAGGAACCAAGTAGTACAGATCCTCTGAACTCCAGCCTCTGTTCTAGAGGATCTGCACTACTGAGGAAGCTGTGCAATGGAGAATTTAGGGATAGGGAACCGTGGAGGGTCTAAAATCCCAACTAAAGATAAGGGTCAGAACAAAATGACCAGCAAGGCAGAGACTTTATGCAACCTACTTGTTTTCAAGCCTGGATCTGCTTAATTGTTCTTTCCTCAGGTCCTTTGTTGGTCCCTGAACCTGGGGGTGATATTAAATTTTGGCTGCAGCTGGGGCTACAGAGTCCAGAAGCAGACAGCTAGCAGATGTTTTCTGCATACTTATGCCCTATTTTATGCAATTGCTTGTTCATTCAGCAATTGCTTATTGAACACTTGCAAAGTGACAGGCATGGTTGTAGATAGCATGGATATGGCAAAATGGACAAAAATATTTGTCCTCATAGACCTTTTATTATTAGTGAAAAAAATAATTGAGACACATACACAGATAAATAAAGAATCTAGATATAAAGATATGAGAAGAATCAAATTAAGGTGATGTGATACAGAGTGACTGGGTGGCTACTTCAGCTTATGAAACAGGGAAAGATCTCCCTAAGGCGACACCCTCTGAGGAGAGGATACTAGTGCAGAGTCCCAAGGTGAAATGAACTAGGCATATTGAAGGAAAAGGGAACAATGGGTGTATGGTGAATGAGAGGGAGAATAGTACACAAAGAGGTCAGAGAGAGAGGTATGGACCAGAGCAGATAGGGGCTTGAGCTCTATGAGAAATGTTCATTTTTCTCTAAGTGCACTAGGAACTCTTTGGAGGGTTTTGGGTGGGAAAGTTACATGAGTCTGTGGCTAGAAAACAATATAGCAGTTATCTAGCCCGCTTTCTTCCTACCTTTGTATTTTAAAAAATGAAGAGAATGAGGCCCAGGGATATCAAGGGATACAAGTACGAATTCTAATTTTTTGTTTTTTTTGAGATGGTATCTCCCTCTGTCACCCAGGCTGGAGTACAGTGGCTCACTGCAGCCTCCATCTCCTGGGTTCAATCCATTCTCCTCCCTCAGCCTCCCTAGCAGCTGAGACGACAGGTGCATGCCACTACACCCAGCTAATTTTTGTATATTTAATAGAGACTGGGTTTCACCATATTGGCCAGGGTGATCTCGAACTCCTGACCTTGTGAGGAGTTTGGGAACTAAGGCAGAACTCCCGCCTGCCTCAGCCTCCCAAAGTGCTGGGGTTACAGGTCTGAGCCACTGCTCCCGGCCCACTAATTCTAAGTCTTTACTCATGGTATTATGTCCCATAGTGGGGTACCCACATGGTTAATAAAGGATCCCAGAACCAAGGAAAGATTACCAGAGGTTAGGTCAAGCTGGACATTAAAATGGATATTAAGGCACACATATATATAAAGCTTGTATTAAATGGATATTAAAGCACATATGGATCTAAAGCTTCTGTGTATAGTATATGTGTATACTATATATGTGTAGCACCTGTCGTCTCAGCTGCTAGGGAGGCTGAGGGAGGAGAATGGATTGAACCCAGGAGATGGAGGCTGCAGTGAGCCACTGTACTCCAGCCTGGGTGACAGAGGGAGATACCATCTCAAAAAAAACAAAAAATTAGAATTCGTACTTGTATCCCTTGATATCCCTGGGCCTCATTCTCTTCATTTTTTAAAATACAAAGGTAGGAAGAAAGCGGGCTAGATAACTGCTATATTGTTTTCTAGCCACAGACTCATGTAACTTTCCCACCCAAAACCCTCCAAAGAGTTCCTAGTGCACTTAGAGAAAAATGAACATTTCTCATAGAGCTCAATGTGTATAGTATATGTGTATACTATACACAGAAGCTTTAGATCCATATGTGCTTTAATATACATTTTATATAGTATATCCATTTTGTATAGTATACATACATATATACTATATACAGAAGCTTTAGATCCAGATACACGTAGGCATGAGTCCCATCTTTGCTCTGGGCAGATTATTTCACCTCAGAATCAATTAGGATGTATTAAGTTGAAAGTAACATAAAATTTAACTGTGACATGAACCATATTTATTTATGTAATGAAGTCTGGAGACAGGCAGCCTTTTTATTTGTTAGGCAGATCAGCAATGTTATCAAGAACTCAGGCTCTTATAATCCTTCATTTTGGACACCTTACTGTTTTGTTCTCATGCTTGTGGCCTCACGATTGCCAAACTCGAAGCATCACATCTTCACACAATAGTCAAAGTCAGGAATCAGTTGCAGGGTCAAAATAGCTTGCCTTTTATAGAGAAGAAGTCTTTTCCTAGAAGCTGTCCAACAGATTTTTCCTTATATCTTATGGTCTATAACTGGGTGATGTAGCTATTCCTATCTGGAAGAGAGACTGGGAAATAAGTATCTGGCAAATGAGAATGGGATTGTATGATTAAGACCAATCAAGAATCCATTCTTGAGGCTGGTCATCATGCTACCTAGAATGAAATCAGTGTTTTCATAGGAAGAAGAGGGGCATTGATGTTTGAATAAGCATCTAGAAGCATCTGGCTAAAGTTACTTTTATTTACTTTTAAATTTTATTCATGATTTATAAGCATCACTGTAAATAACTAATTGCAGAAAAATGACACCATTTCCATGGGACATTTTTCTTGATGTGTAATTCCAAAGCTAAATAATGCATACAATTTTAAGACGCTTGAAATATATCAGCAGATAACACTTCTGAATTTTGTTTTCACTAATTTCCATTACAATTACATTTATTTTCAACAGTGCATAGAATTCCCATGTCGCAGAAGCCTAACCGCACATGAATAATACATATTTTCATCATCTATTAATTTTATGCCTTCCTTTATAGTATTAATTACTAATTTATGAGGACTTTATGAGAATTTTGGTTTTACTTTTTTTCTATTTGATAGGGGAAATGTACCAACTTTATTGTGTTTATTTGTCCATTTGCATTTTCAATTTTGTGATCTGTTTCTTATTGTTTCTCTTTCTATTTATTTACTGTTTTTGTCTACTCACCTAAGGAACTTAAATAGATAGACATATAGTAGATAACAAAGTATTTTAAAAAGAGTTTATATAAAATATATTAACATGTAAGTGTATTTGTACTTAAAAACCAGAAATGGTTTTAAATTTTGTTTCATTTTATTATCATCTATTGATTTTTTAAATATATTTTCCCTTTGATGTATTAATTTGATGACATATATTAATAAATTATTAAAATTTAAATATCTTGCATTCCCAGTATAAACCATTCTTGATTATAGGTTTAAGGTAAATACCCTTTTATGTTGTATAAGTTAGTATTTTATCTGGAACAAATAATTATTCTTATGGCACCATCAGCATCAAAATTTTGGATCAGCATTGTGCAACCATGGTAAAATTAAGAAGATCAATGTTTTCCGATTAAAACTGATTAGTAGCAAAAGAATTTTTGCACTTTAATCATTTGAAAGAACTTCCTTTGGCTCCTAATTGTGAAGGAAAATTCTTAATACATTTTTTAATGATAATTTGCTCCTTCTTAATTTATTAAAAAATGATTCATTTATTTAAGAAATTTTTATTGAGTACAATTGGATAGTCTTTGGTTTTATTTTACTATGCCAATCTCTGTCTTTTGATTGGCTTCTATAGATCATTTATATTTACAATAATTATTGGTATTTTAAGATTAAGCCTGACATTTTATTCTCTTTTTGTTTTCTCTGTTTTTTGTCCCTCTATTTGCCTTTTCTTACATTCCTGTGGATTACATGAACATTTTATTTAAGACTCCATCATGATTTATTTGTAGGGTTTTTGAGTGTATCTCTTTGTATCACTTTCTTACAGGTGTTTCTGGTATTTCAATATACATATTACTTTTTCAGTGTCAACTGGTATCAACATTTTGCCATTTCAAGTGAAGTACTGAAATGTCTATTCCCTTTAGATTCCTTTACTTTCCCCAGTATTAAATATCATTGTCACAAATATCAGATATAATTTTGTTAAATTTGTTTTAGTCATTGACTATGATTTATAAAATATATGAAGAGAAAGATAGTACATTTTATATACCCATATTTTTTCTCTTCCAGAGTTCTTCCTTCCTTCCTGATGCTCCAAGAGTTCTTTTATCACCTCCATGTTTTAAATCATTTCATTTCTGTTTTATGAACTCCCCTTAGCCATTATTTAAGGGTAGGCCTACTAGTAACTTATTCTGTTAGTTTTTCTTTGCCTGAGAATATTTTTATTTCCCTTTATTTCCGAGGATATTTTCACTAGATATAAATCTGCAGTTGACAGTTCATTTCAGTATTTGAAAAATGTGATACTTCCTTCTGGCCTCCGTGGCTTCTGATAAAAATCCACTGTGGTGTCATTTGAATGGATGTTTTTCTATAGTTAATGTCATTTCTTCTTGGCTATTTTCAATACTGTTTTATTGTCTTTAGTTTTCCGAAGTTTTATGATGTGTATTGGTGTGCATTTCTTTGGATTTATTCTATTTGGGGTCTGTTCATCCTCTTTAACTTGTAGGTCTTTTTGCCAAATTTGTGAAGGTTTCTCCCAATTTATTTGAAAATATTTTTAGATATACGTTTTTTAAAATGTTCTTTTCATAAGATTCTGATGATATGATTG